TCGTGAAATTAATTTGTCAACAGGTTATTTGGTGGACTTGAAAAGAGCAGGAGATCGAAGCAAAGATTAAAGCTGATTATCGTGGGAGTATCTTGATGACGCAAAGTTTAAGGGCAATAGCAGGAGCTATTGAGATGATAAAAGCGGATGAATGAAGAAACTTTGTTGAACCTAATGAAAGCCTCGAGCCTGTTTTTTTTCTCTATACTTTTCTTCTGTTTTACTTCGGGTTATATAACTCTCTCTCGAATATATTTTGTATTTGTTTGTAAAGATGTTGCGACACTCTTAAATGAAATTAGTAAAGAGAAACTCTTGATTTTAGCTGAAATTTAATTTAATACATCATTTCTCAAAAAATGCTTAATCAATGTTATTTAAAACCAATTAATATAATTGAGATCAAATGATATTACATCACAGATCAAATATTGAATAATGTAAGATTTGGATTGATTGGAATTTTGTTATGTAAGAGTCAGTATACAGCAAAATCTCTCATAGTGCGGCTAATCGGATCCTTTAATATAATAACTGCATCTTTTGAAACCGGACTAAACAAGGACTTTAAAATCGGTTAAAAATAAACAGCACAAAAGGAAACTTACCTTTATAGAAAAAAACGATGATTTATATATAAGAAATAATTATGTGTACTAATGTTTTTAGAATTTATTTTCATTATTCTCAGTTAAAATTTAGTTTGTTGTGAAATTTTCAAACAGTGCTATATTGAATCTAGACTGATCGAAACCGTACTATTTGAGGTATTGCTGTGTTTATTAAGCAGTTAATTATTAACAGAATTACTTTTTTCTAATTTAGAATTAATTATAAAAAAAATATGTACTAATAGCATGTTGTGATTTTGATGTAAATTTTAAATGTAGTAATTTTGGGTTAAACGAGACTTCGGTTGTAAGCTATTGAATTAGTTGTTTTTTTGTAGTTTAGTTTTATTTATATTTCTTTTTACTATTAGTACGGTGTTCGGATAATAATGCAGTTTTGCCGATAACGATTAATAATGGAGCCCGGCAGTCGAAGCGCTCCCGCAAAGCTTACATAATTTATTAAGGCCCGTTCGAAATATCACAGACGGCCTTGGGGGGTTTATGTTTTAATTAATTATTAATTGGCTCCGTCGAAGTTGTGTAATGCAGTTGAAACCTTCTACGGACGGGAACCCCAAAAAGCCGTCGACCGTCTACGATCCACGCATCCTACAAAGGCTTGCTTCCTACATGTTAGATATCTGCCATTTCCTTAATTACCATGATACATAATATTATCAAAATGTGAGCTTACACTTTCAAAACTAAATATATATTTTCGTATATTAACTTAACTTTTGATGGTAAATAATACCTAAGTTCATAAAGAAAGATATAACTTAAAAGTATACAAAATTTGAGTAACTTATTTCAAATTCTGAAATTTTAACTATTTTTTCAAATAATTGCATACACACTTTCTACCCTCAACATAATCTTAAAGACAAATGAAGTTCTAGTTATGAGTCTTAAACAATATAATAGGAAGGACTTATGATCTATGAAATTAACTTTGCATTAATAATACGTTATTAAAACCTATACAGCAAGGAATATATAATTATAAATAATAAGTAGTCTACAAATTAATATACTTAAGAAAGACATATCTAAATGTAATGAAAATTATTCGCTTTTTTACAAAAAATATGAATACAAAATACTAACTAATTATTAAATATTCTATCAGAAATATAAATGTATAATTTAAGAAAATCAATAAATCATGTTAGATTGGATAAATATTGACAAAGAAGTTTGTATATCATCAAAATGTAAAAAAAATGCAATTTTTATTCAATCATCTATATCGATACGTATATAAAAGTCTGATTTAATATTATTTAAACAAAAGCTAATTAACTGCTTCCATTTATTTCCTTTTCTCAATTAATTTTGAGTTAATATTAAACTTGGAGAGTAGAAAATATATTAAATCATTTCTTTTTATACTTTGACATGAATGTGAACCCTCGTCTGCTTCGGGACTGAACTGATTGAAAGGTTTGATAAAAATATTTTATTTAGAGCAGATGGTATCGTCATAACATATTTTATACAATATAAGATTTAAAATCATTGCCTTTTTAAATATAGTAAATATTTTAGTAAATTATTATAAAACTAATATTCTCGTGGCGTCTGCTAAGAATATTTTGCTGTTAAATTTTCAACGAATTACTCTAAAATATGCTTTTACAAAAGGTCAGTCAGTATGACGAAAGTATATAAGTCTGGGTTGTCTCACCTTTCCAATTTTAAAATTTATGGTTGATTTGAACTCATTTGTGACTTATAGACGCCACGTGAGTAACGGAATGTTGTCTATTAATTCATAATATAGTATTGTATTTTATTCCTATTTACGTGAACCTTTTTATTAGTTATAAAATGAACTACTAATAAACAAGTTGAAATGACTAATCAATTCGATTAAATTTTCAAACATTATTAATTTGAAGACTACCATTGTTGTCTGAATTAAGAGTGAATTGTTTTAATTGTGAGCCCAATTAGTGCGTTTCTTTTCCGTCGATTTGCTACAACTCATTTAAAACTGCGATTAATTGTAACGCTCATTGGTGGCAATTGGCATAGTTGATAAATTTCGTATCACGCAATTTACGAGGACCGTTCTGCCATTCTTAATGGAGTCATAAAGTTTTCCCGAAATATGGCCTAATTACTTGGAGTTCGGAGGTTTATGAGGGATGGGCATGCAACGGTTGTGCACTACTCCACCCACACTCCAGCCCATCCGCATTGAGATGATCTAAACGGTTCATTTAATTTACTGAACACCGGATACATACATACATACATCCACAAACATACAAACAAGCTCGAGTTCTATACATATGTATGGTTCTGCGCATCCACACACACTAGACTTGAATACACCCCTTTGTAAATAATCCGAATTGTATTAAATTGCTAATGGTATATGGATGCGACTGCATTGCAATTTATCACCACTTTGTGGTATACTTTATTCTTCTTAACTATACTTTTGGGATGCTCTTATTTTAGGTCATCTCTAGGGTACATTTTTGCCTCGTAGTTTCTAATTAATGTATAGCCTAATGTTCAAGAAAAACGAGTCTAAAAGCACCATCTTAAATTAATAAGCATCCTGTCTCTTATATAAAATACATCATCACGGTTTCGATCTTTGGAGACATACAGATACAGTATTTTTTGGAAATAAGTCAAGTAACTATAATTATCTTGAAATATTTTTTTGTAAAAGTTTCAACAATAAGTAATAAGTGTCTGCTTGTATGATATGTATAATTTTAGCATTTGCCAAATCAATTGTTTCGAAGCATCTGCTGGATTCTGTACAAACACTTGCCGTGTTTAAAATCGCGTCCCTAATGGTTGCTGGAAATAGGTCAGAGGACAATCCAAATGGCGTTGTTCGCATTGCTTCCAGGTTACTGGGCTTTCCTAGCTATTTATTCCATTTTCCATCCTCTTATATCAGATGCAGAGTTGTTTCGCAACGGAATCTTCTCCCGATTCAAAACAAAGAAGTAATTAAGTAAAGCTGCAGATTTAAAATCTCGTCGGAGGCGATTTTCAGTTAATCCACGGAAAGAAACTATATATGCACTTGTTTGTATTCATTAACGAGCGCTGTGTGCCTTCGGGGCGCGAACTTTATAGCAAAACTTCAACATAAGTTGCTGTATAAATATATATGCGAAATCGCTTTATGGTAAGCGATTTATCTATTATTATAATCGAGTTATTGTGGACCGCGTTAGGTTTAAATTTCGGATTCATCCGAAGGCATTAAGGCGTAATTTAAAAGTACGGAAGTTTAACCGTAAAATACGAGCGGTGGCTGTGGCATCGGTGGAAGCGGCGGCAGCGGCAGTAGCGGCCAGGTAAGTAAATTATTATTACCCCCCAAGAAACTTTGACGACTTGCTGGTAACGCAAATGCACAGCTCGGTTTACTCGCCGACCATATCATAAAATCTGCTTGATTCTCCAACACACAACATGCTTTTAAAACCTAGTTTATTTTAACTTAATCTAATAAAAAAATACAATTTATATAGTTGATGAAGATGTGATGGTTAATAGTAATTAGTATGATTGATACAATTTGACAAAAATAATAATTAAATAACATTAATTATTCTTATCTTCCAATATTGTACAGAATTTATAATTGATTCAGCAACTAAACTGTTGTCATCACCATAACTAGTTAATTTTAGTGATCTTCCTGCTAGCCTTAGGTATACCTTCCTTCATAAAGCCAATGTTAGTTGATAATCTCATAGATATCATAATTACTGAAGAACCAAGGTGTTTTTGACTGGAATTATTTCGATGCTCGTATTGCAGGTAGATCCCCAATATTAGATGCCATAGGTTTTATAATTGCCTTAAATATAAAAACTTTTTTAATAGAGTTGTACGAGTATGTTCCTATTAGCCAATGTAGTTTTTTTTAACCCTCAAACCCATTTGTTTTCAGTTGGTTACGATGTGCTTACACCAAGTAAGGGGTCAATATAAGTTAGAAGTAAATTACCCCAAAAGTGAATTCTTAAAGTAATGAATTGAAGATTTCAATAAAGTGGATATTATTTGATAAGTAATGCAAAGTCTGTACTCAGAACTTTATCCATTGTATATGAATATAACAGTACCTCTCATAGTTCGACTTCGATTAGTCCGAATTAACTATACGAAAATTGGATGATTAATAGTAATTTTTATAATTTACTTACGAAAGCTATCAAATATTTGTTCTTTATAGATTTCTTATGAAATAATACGTTATATTCATCTTTATTCAACTACCAAACTTTTTTTTTATAAAGTTTTCTATCGTATTCAATAATTCTCATAATAATATAAACCAGCGAAAGGTTAATAATAATTTCTATAATTCACTTACAATATTTTACCATAATTTAGCGTTCGATAGCTTCTATAATTCCTGAAAATAAATTGAGGAAGAAAGGATGATTAATAGCAATTTGTATAATTGTTACGTAGTTTTGGTGATAACGTGTACAAATGACGCTCAGTTAGGTGTTGATTGCGGTTAAGCCTCGTAATCAATGAATTATAATTTCAACGGACATCGCTTTGCAGTGGCAGTTCTATTTATTTAACTAACTGATGAGATTTATTGCTGTAAACAGGTAGCATCTACGGGGAGAAGGTTGTTGTATTCCTGATGTCCGTGCAATAAGCCAATCGTGGACAATCATACCGGTCCACCGGATATGATCAAAACGAAAAAGGTTGTAGTATTCCAGAAGTCTCAGAGATTTGCCGCTGTTGGACAGTCGCATCGGCGATAATTTTCATGACTCCGTTGATTTTGGTGTAAGGGGTGCAGCTTGTAGATGATGTTTGTCGATGTTATTGATGAATAGGTGAAGATGGAGGTAAAGAAGAGTAACGAAGGATAGCTTTTACATTGTCTTGGAGACCTTTGAACAATATTTATCCACGTTTCTTTATTCCAGGCTGCAAAAGACATATGTAATAATATAGATCCAGTAATATCGCCAAATTGCATGTTATTTTAATAAATGCATTTGCAAAATATGCATACTTACACATATATATGTAAATTTCAATTTAGGAAAATTGGGGTCTCGTTCCGTGCGAGGGTAATCAGTAAAAATTGATTTTTCTCAATTCGATGTTGTTTCAGGGTGGAAGTGGAATCGATTACGGTTATGCAACAATGACGGTTTTTGGGTTCACAGTTCACATTGGTACTCCGGCAAATTAGATGTAGCAAGTGTGTTCTCGATCTCTATACAGACTTTCCGATCCGTATGGAAGGCCATTATTGGACAATAAGTGGGCCAGTCGGCGCACCGCGAAATCCAATTTTAGCTCTGAAAGTTACAGCAAAAAAGTAAATATCTATATATACCAAAAGAGAGGAAGATAATAAAGAGGCATGAATGGAGAATAATAATAAGAATAAAAAATAATATTTGCCCTTTGGTTCAGAGAAAGAGATAATACAAAAAAAACGAAATTATTTTATGTGCTACTTCCTACTTACTGTATGCACACCTAGGCAGAAGGAAAGAAGGAACGTTTTCGATAACGACGAACCAAATTTAATTCGAATCCTGCAGTTCAAAGGATCGCCCTCGAAATGATGATGGGGGTTGTATAAATGAGTACCGCTACGTGACGATCAGAATGCCTGATTGTTATTTTACTGGAACAGTGTTCAACATTAATTGAATCATTACCTCATCGAAATTGTCGCACGCCTTTTTAAACACAGCAATTACTGGCTGACCGAGCCACTTCTAACTTCTTTCCAACAATATTTTCATTTGGGAATACTCACTCCAATTATAAATATTTGTGTTTAAATTGACTGTTAAATATAATGGTTCGATTTTCTCACTATAACAAATGACACATCCCGCATAGTTGCACACATCGCCGCCTGCATATTGATTAAAACATCAAATATCTGACGTATTTGAAACAATGTACTAAATTTCCGATTAGCGTAAAATCACCAATGTTTGGTTGCCTTAGTTTTAGACAGTTTCGTTTTTTTTTTCTCAATTCTGTTCCGTCGCGAATTCATGTTTCTTGACTTTCTGTGTCTGTGCTGTGTATATATAGACGGGGTGGGGTGATGGAAGTTTTCAAATGGTGATTTAATGAGGAGAGCTTGAAAGAGATTTTGATTCAGATTGTAAAAGTATAAGGTAAATCTAAATTAACAAAAATTAATTAATCCGCTAATAATTGCAAATATTTCAATAATAATAATATCAGAATTTATAGTTCCTTATTAAAAATTATTTATTTTTTTGACATTTCTGAATGTCAATGTAATTTTTTTTTTTTTCGAATTATTACAATGAAGATATGATTTATTATTTGGTCTTAAAATGTATTTTTTTTCCTAAAATATCGTTGTTCTTCACGATGTCTTCGTTGCTAATAAGATTTTAAAGAAATCTTCAAGTTCTAACATCTTTTTCATCGATATTTTGATTGATTCACATATCTGAATAACTTCATTTCTAATTTCTTGAATTTTATTTTCTTAGCTTTAACCATAAATTGGTATTTTTTTTTATGTTAAAAGGGGATTCACAATGCGGACTTCGTTATATCAAAGCTTCGTTATAAGAAGTATACCTGTATTATAAATTTATAATAAGATAGAAAATTTCATAATAAGGTACTTTAGAAAATAAAATCTGCTGAAATCATTATTAATTAAAAAATCTGTTTTCAAAACTCATTGACTCATTGACAAATATAATCAACATTAAATAAACAATATTTTTAGAATAATATAATAAAATAGGATCAATTTATGTGCTTCTATCTTTTCGGTAACTTTTATAAATATTAGAGGAATGACGTTCTTTAACTTGTTATATACTATAAAGTTAATGTTATTAATTGCGCGTATGTTCAAAAGTTTAGTAATTTTTTAAAGTTAAGTTTTTGGTATGACAAATTGATTAACGAATGGAAATATACAATTATTTAATTAAACTAGAAACTTATCGGGTATTATAAATATAACATTTGAGTAGCGAGGTGTGTAAAGGGTAGGAGGGTGGGTGTTAGTGTTGCAACCGCACCACCCACGGCTTAATTAATCCCAATTAACATGCACGTATGTGTATCTACATTACATAATAAGCTTTGTGCAAACCTAATGGATTGCAACACACTGCCATTAACACTATGCATTACCGACCACATATTATATACTGTAGTCCTCGCTACAAAAGAGCACACTATCAAACAAATGAAAATCTAAAGAAAATTAGCAGCATGAAAGAGAGATGTCTGATTTTCAGCACGTCGCATTGCTTTCAGCAATTGGTGCCAAGAGATTTAAATTCGCAAATTGCTCTCATGTCTTGGCACGCGTAATTGGTAATAATCGGGCGAACTGTCTAACTCCATTATCTACGTAAGCGCAAAACTATGCAAAACTCGCCAAAACTCCCATCGCGTAACTCCAATCTGATTTCCTTTCCAATACTTTAAACAACGCTTAATAACAATATCAATTTAGTATTCACATTAGAGTGATGGTTTGGTATAGATGATGATTCAAAAAGCATATTCATAAATCAATGGCGCATCGTTATTGATAATAATTAACGGGATTTATTAGAAATGAGAACAACACGTATTATCCATTTGGCATGATGCGGCTTTAATTATGCTAAAACCCGCGCACAATAAATAAATACAGTACGCGATTTCGATTCTCAAACGAAAATTATATAAACATACATCCATAAATTCGGAACGTGACGGTTTTAATGTCCGCCGATAAATTAGGCTTTTAATAAATGTTAAATCATAAGTGTATTATAGCCCACTTTCCGCTTTTGGTTGCATAGATAGTAGAAGCCGACCAATAAACGCAAATCAATTTGGTCCTTTGTAGTTCACAGCTTGTCCTATTTAAAATTATTATATAATTAAACATGCGGACAGTCACAGGTTAATTGTTTATAATTCGTCCTTGTTCTGTACACTTTTACTCTATTACTCTGCTCGTCCGCTCATTTTTATACATTTTTAAATAAAACACGAGACACGTATTTTTATACACGAAATGGAAACCACTTCAGCTGCAAATTACATTTTATGTTCAACTACTACGTGCAAATGAAGAGTTGGACTCAAAATATTAGCACAAAAGAATTATAACATACATTCAACTCATTTTCAGTTTAATTTTATAAGTTTTTCTTAATACTTTTTATATTCATAATAATTTAAATTATGTTTTAATTACATATGCGGATGTAACAGTTTCCAAAAAGTATAACAGTTATCTAACATATTTAAACAAACAGTAACTTTATGGCTTATATTTCGAATACTTACCCTTATTCATAACCATCTTTTGTAGGCACATTACTCATGAGTTATAAATAATCATTTAGGTAATAGTACATTAATAGTTTAGAATTATCGTAATGATTTTGATTTAATTTAATTAAATACGTATCAATTTATTTAAAACATATGTTTCGATCTATTTTGACCAAAATAATTGTTACATGTACATTTTCTATAAAAATGGGAATTACATTTTTCAAAAATGCAACGTTAACAAATATTTGTATGCAAATGTAAACACGTCATGCCATCATTTATCGTGATTATTTCACTAAAATCCGACATATTTTCAACGCATTTTTTTTTTAATTTAAAACTAAATTATTTTTTCATACAAAATAAAAATTTACATCATTTTTCTAATTTTACTGATAAAACAATTTATAAGTAATGACATTTGTTAGTTATGAATCGATCAATTAATAAAAATATATAATATTTTTTAGTTAAAGAATGCAAAACTTATTTATATAATCATAAACACATATGAAATTAATTGCCGAATTTTTTGTATCATAAGACGCCAAGTTTGCATATCAATTGCAAAAGGCAACTTTTTGCTGTTTTTTAGTATTTACTATTTATAATATTAGTTTATATAAATCTGGTTTAACTACATTTTATTTATACTTTTTGATGCTCTGCGATTCCACTATTTCCTTTGATTGTGAATCTGCTACTATCCTTAACACTGTCATTGTCCATGAAGGTCCATTCATGATGAATGATGCAAGCAAAGAAGGCTTAGCTTGACCAGGATATGAACCAAAGCCCACGAAATCGCCCTAGAATTATTATATGAAAGTATTATAATATATATGAAATTATGAAGCGTTGGTGAATAATAATATAAAACTAATTATGATTGCATGCCGGACTTTAATTACCGTTATTTATTACGTACATTATTATATTTATGTAATCGTTATGTGCCGCGGGATTTGATTTGCATAAAATCGAAGCGTGCGCCGTTCTTAATTAATGAAAATCAGCACGAAATAAAATGAAAATTTTATATATCTATATCCATGTATATATAAAAAAAGGTAAAAACGTGTTGCGGATTTTGTTCTGCAGTAAATTAATTTTCTCTGCTGCGAACGTACCGTGAAATTTAATTTCACGGAAAAAGGAATCCTGAAAAGTTGAAACCTTAAAATACTCAATATAGGAACTAAAACATATATATACAGATTACATTGTATGAGATTATACACAATATATGTGCATATAGGAAGTATATAAAAATATAATATCATTTCAGTTTCAACTTTAGTAATAAACAATAAAATAATGATTATATCATTTTTACTTTTTACATTTGCTATCTCGTCCTTCATCTTCAGGAATACTACAACCTAATGCTGCACTGCCATTACCTCACTTAGTTTGTCTTCGATCAGTCCGGATTCATTATAGTGCGGTTTGAATATTTCAAAACTAACAACATTTTAATTGAACAAAATATAAAATTAGTAGTATTTGCAATCGTCTCCTTCTGTGCGGTTTAAAAGTCCTCGGTTAGTACGGTTTAAAACAATTCTTGATTATTTTTATTAATAATTGTTAATATTAAATAATAATAAATAAAATAATTTATTACAATTATCATACAATTTCAATATTCATTAAAATAATATTTAATATTTGCAGTATGTATGTTTTTTTATAATAAGTTTTATTATTGTATTTAATATAATAATAATAACAAAAATATTTTGTTTTTGTTATATTATGAGAGTTAAATAAATATTTCGTCATTATGAAATAAATATGTTATTCGCATGGCTATAAATATGGAGATAGTTGCAGCATGATATAGTATTCCATTATTCAGTTGCGTAAACAATCTAGTCAAGTGAAACAAATTTATTATAACGCAAACGCTCGCATAAATCTCTATATTTAGATTATATACAAACAAATTGTCATGGTGGACAGAATGTAGAACAATTAACTGTGCTCCTCTCTCTTTCACTCTGGCACTCTCTCATCTATCTGCACTGCAGCCTATCCATGTATATAACCTAGGTTCGACTTTCATAACTATAGTTTGGGGAAAATTAAAAACTTGTGTGAGGAAGTATAGCGGAGAGTGAGTTTAACCTCGAAGGATGAGAGGGCGATTTATTTCAAACTTTACTTTATTAGAAAGTTTCCTTTTTCGTCTCTTTGTGGCATAACTTTTATCGAAATGCTATTATCTTGTACACCAGCTATATATCATTTTTATTTCGTGCGGCGCAG